AGCTATGAAATCTATACTGCTGCAGGGACGGATACCGAAGAAATTGCAAGTGCACGAAGGTCGTGAATTGTACAATACCGAATTCAAGAATCTAATGCAAAAACATGGTATTGCTATGTACTCGACATTCAGCAACTTGAAGGCATCAATTCGTGAACGTTTCAATCGTACTCTAAAAAATGATATGTGGAAACAATTTAGCCTGCAGGGTGACCATCGTTGGTTAAGCATCTTATCAGACCTGCTATCCTCTTACAATGGTAGTAAACATCGAACCATTGGTATGAAACCGATAGACGTCACTGCTAGAAACGAAAAAAAATTACTGCATCGAGTGTACAAGAATTTCAAAATCAAATCCACACTCAGACTTGCAAAATTTAAAGTTGGAGACAAAGTTCGAATAAGCAAATTCAAACACATTTTTGAAAAAGGCTACACACCTAACTGGACAACGCAAATTTTTACAATAAGCCAAGTGGAGAATACCCATCCGGTGTCGTACAAAACTCAAAGACTACCAGGATCATCCTATCGAAGGCGGCTTTTACGAACAGGAACTTACCAGAGTCAAGTACCCCGACATATACCTTGTGGAGAAGGTGTTGAGGAAACGTCGGAATAGACTTTTCGTTAAATGGTTAGGTTTCGATGAATTGCATAACACTTGGACTAATAAGTCGGACCTATAAGGAGTTTGAAATAAAACAAAACTTACAATAATTAATTTTATTATGTATATAAAATTTATTATTTAAAAAAAATATATAAAAAACAAAAATATTTTTTAAAAACATACAAAAATTTAAAAATACAAAATATAAAAAATTTAAAATAACTTTTTTTTAATTTTCTTCCTCTGATTCGTAGTCAGAGTCCCTGCAAAAATAGATAATAATGATATTACTATTCATGTGTAAATAGAATTGATTAATACACACTAATTGTAACAAACTAACGAGGGCATCCGGAAAAGATTTCTGAGGGAAATATATTTTCGTTCCCCCAGTCTTCATCTTCAAAAAGGGCCCACCCATTGTGCGCCCTTCTTTCCCTACGCTCATTACGTTTTTTTAACATGTCTTTTTTTTCTCCCTGATGCATATATATCCATGAATCTGTAATAATGAAACAACACTGTGACAGGAAAATAATGTTATCTTTCCCCTCGACATCACCGCTCGCCTGAAACTCCTCGAGCGCTCGTAGGGACAAACTTACGAGTAAGGTATAATTGTCGAAATAGGATTTATGTCATTTGTGTTATTTATGGTAACGTAAGGTACTTATATTACCTGCAATTTAATTTATTATATGTCAATAATAATCGTTGAACTAGCGGGTCTATTGCTTACTCATATAAGGTATCGAGCGAGAGCGACAAGGAAACAACCTATGGTTGGCCCGGTAATTTGACAAAGACACTGGAGGGCTGAACGCGCATGCGCCCGAATATAGATTTGCCAGTCCGAGCGCCAGCAACGGACCTCGTGGTCAAGCAACAAGTGAGCCGATAAAATAGGCACCGCCTAATGCTAACTTACTTCTATTTCGTCAATTGAATAGCGAGGAAGTCAGCCCTCGAGGAGTCTCGCCTTCGTAATTTGTCTGTCTCTTCTACATTGAAATTTGTGTGAACTTGAAACTATTGAAATTGAATTATTGTGAACCTGAAATAATTGGATTATTGGATTGAACAATTGGAAATATTGGATATATATTGAAGTACTGAAATATTCAATTGACTGGAATTAATATTGAAGGATTGAATATTATAATCGACGACTGTCGACGTTGCAAGTAAGTCCAATTAATAAATCTTGTAACGTGGCGTCCGTGGGACGGCCAGTTACATAAAAGCGTAGGGGCACGGAGAGCCGTGACGCCAACGAAAGCCGCCAAGAGAATGCCGATGACGACGAAGGTTCTTTGCAAGGGGAAGCTGGGGAGAGAAACCGGCACCGCCGAGCCCGAAAGTCGGGCGGCTTCGGGTAAGATCGGCGCCGCCCGGAGATTGGCGGGCGGTGGGCGCCGA